ACGACGTTTTATTGCACTTACCCTTTACCAATATATTTACTTGGTATTTTAGAGTCCGGACAGAACTGTGTATTAATTTTCCTTATCTGCCCGCCAGAGAGTAATTTAAAGACCCAACCAGAATCACTGCCATAAATCATTGCGTTGAAACGATGATTCGAAGGAGTTGTCTTAATGGCTTTGGTTCATCAATCGTATGTTTTCCGTGCTGCGCAAGAATACCCTAGTACATTCCATTCCATTCTCCTGGCAAAGACTTGCCATATCGAGGCCGCCCTGTTCTTCAGAAGTGGGCATAGGCATAGGCTCTTTCCGTAAGGGCTTTTGGCTGGTGGTGCTGCTGCTACCTCGCCACTTAACCGCTTTTCCGTCTCTTGGCTTTTGTCTTTTCACACTCTCCACCGAGGGATGTGGTGGTGCGGTGGAGGAGCACCACCTGACCTGCCAACCAATTGGCGTATGCCACCAAATGTCATTTAACCCACCCAGCCACCCACCCGCCCACTCTTGTCCGCTCTCTTGGCTGGTGAAATATGCAAGGCAAATGTAATCATTATTGATTTTGTGGTCCGGTCTCTCTGGAACGGAGAACTCGGAACTGAGCCGGCCGGAAGGGAGGGGAGGGGGCTGACTGGGCATTCGCACACATTAGTATGTTAGATTATCCAAGCCGTTGCTGCTGAGGCTGCTTAAATATGCAAAACGTTGACGATCCTTGGGCGGCGGAGCAGCGGGCAGACGGATGGGTGCGGGCGCCTAAGGAGACCAAGGACCCGTCACACACATTAGAAATTTAACAGGTTAATGTCCAAAGTCGTAAACGAGACCATTTATTTATGGCCACATTCCGACTTCTCGTCCTCGCCCCCCTTCCCGGCCAGCACTCAGTCAGGTTCTCCTAATTTTCATAAAATATATGAGACCACCCCCACTCGAGAGTGTGCGTGTCGTGAACATAAAAATCTGTAAAACAGACGCTTGCCTTGAGAGACCTTGAAGGGCTTTGATAATGACTGCTGCCTCTCTAACCACCTCGCCTCACCCTCCCCATTCCACTTCATCCCCCTTTGTTGCCAGCATAAGCTTTATGTTGTTGAGCTCCTTTTGGGGGTTGGAGAACAGAAACGCTCGTTTCTTTTTCGGGCCAGCTGTCAGATTTGTCAAAGGAGTGAAGGACTCGAGCGACTTGGGGCAGCTTGTGTGGCAGGAAGTTGTTTGGTGGCACGCGGGGGGCGGGGGACGTGCATGAGGCAGTGGGGAGGTGGGAAAAAGGATCTGGATTCGGAGGGAATGTATCTATCAATCTCCATAATTGCACGCGAAGGGTAAAGCTGGAAATGCAAGCATATTTCGCTGGTTCGCAGTATCTGCAGATGGCAAGCACATAGCACAGTCATTACTCACTAAGAGGAACCACCAGAAGGATTTCTGTCAATCTTCTAAACTGATGGTAACGAGAACGACTAAGAAACGAACCCCAGTTCAAGAATGTAAAATCAATCTATTGTTTGCTATCAATTTTACCAATACATGGCATTTGTTAATATCTTGAAATTAATGTTAATCCAACATTTTCCGTTGCTCTTTGCCAACTAGTCTCCTCTTCTCTAGTCTCAACGTAGCCAGCCGTAAACCATTGGCAATTATCTTTGAAAGCATCCCGGATACATTTCTCCTCTACCGAAATGTATGATTTCACTGGGTAGTCAAGGAAGTATTTATCAATTCAAAATGATATCTAGTCAATCTGAAAAAATGCTCGCAATCGCTTCAACCAGTTTGATTTGCATCTCGAAATGTGTGTCTGCAGTGCGGAAAACCAGTTGGGTGGGCACATTAAGACCGAAAATGGCTGATATTTCGTCAATGCCGTTGACAGTTGCAAAATGTACACATGGGCCAGTTGCCCAAATTGCATCTTGTCGGACTCCATCCGATAACCAGGCAATCGTTTTCGCCAATCTAAAAACGCATTCGGAGATTCGGAAATTGGCCATCTCTGCCTGCATCTCTCGTTGCCAGGCCGCATCTCGTGGGGCATGTGTCTGGCCAGACATTCGTCCATCTACTCAATCATGGGCATGCCCATTTCTAGGAACGTTTTCGCCGCAGCAGCTGTCCCATCCTTGTTGTTGCTAATTACCACACAGCCAAATAGCGAACCGTAAAAAGGCAAAGCCACAGGACTGCAATAAACATTGATTTTTCCAAAGACGTCGAAGCGGCTTTAACCACTTGCCCATATTGGTGTCGTCGCTCGCTATATTTGGCCAAAGCAAAAAGATTTTTCTTTCCCAAGAAACGGCTGCAAAAATTGCCCAATTTGTCGGAGTCACATTGCTTGGATGCTTTTTACTTTGCCAGCTCGAAATCATTAGCAACTGTAAACTGCATTGTTACCCCGAAGCCAAATGTCAACATATCAATTCCGCTCGCACCTAATATATGTATCTCAAAGATACGCCTTGTGGAACGTCGGCTATTCGAGCAATTCTAAACGGGTCGACATCGACCTGTTTATGCAAATCAGGCGAGAGACAGAGAATATCTTGTTCGCAAATTTCTATACAAAAGCTGATCAAAAAATACACAAAAGCGCGATAAAAATAAAAACATTTTTATTGAGTTAAACTGCCTGCAATGTGTGGGCTTGCCTATAAATGCTTTCAACGAGGAGAGCAGGAGAAAATACAGAAGGGGCCCGAGGAAAGTCGGGGAGAGCATTTCAATTGCGGGGCGTATGGGATTATTAAGGCAATTTGATGATTAATACTCGTAGCTCGTAATAATGGAAGCGTATCAGAGATTGCGGATGATTGACTTGGAATGGAATTTAGTTATGCAGGGGCTTTAGTTTGTGGCGACTTACTAACACTCCCTTTCTAACGGAAAAATTAACATAAGTGGTCATAATTTTATATGCTCTTCTGAAAAACCTCAAATTTTTCAATTTTTCCCTGAAATTGAAAAATTACCGAGCTGCGAAAGGCCTAATTGAAAAGCTTTTTTAAATATCCTCAGTTGCAGCATATGGAACCTTTGCAGGAGATATAATATTGTGACTGGGTATATATATTCATAAACTTTAAGATCACTTCAAAAATGTAACATGTTCTCTTTGGGAATACATTGAAAATATTTTAAAATGCAATAAAAGTGAACACCTTTTTAAACAAATGTTTCGGTGTTTTTTAGAAGGGATTACCAAGCAAAAACACTTATTATATGTCATTCATAAACTGATAAGATCATTTCTGATTGGTTAAATATTTGCACGAATCTTCCATACTTTTTACCGCTTTTCCGTGCGCTTTTAAATTAGCTTTCTGATGGTGGTCTTACCGTTTTTCAGTTTTGGCAAATGGTGTTTTCGCTGATTCGTGTAAACAATTTGTCCGGCAATTAATTGTTTTAAACGTGACGCATAGCGCGAGAAGCTCTAATTTACGCTCCGCTCGGTGTGGAAATGCTCTCCAGCTTTGTGTTTGATAAACAATTATGATGGCTCTCTAAAAACGCCTTCTGTTTCTGTTTATTTGGTTTTAAATGTTTTTTTTTTCGCTGTTGCTTTTTCGCTTTTGATCAAGTAAACTAAATGGGTGTGTGTGCCACAGCTGTTGGTTTTGCCTTTGTTTATGTGTCGGCATTTTCATTCATAGTCAGTCGGACAGTTTTAGATGATAAATCTTTTTATGCGCGGGGCAGCACGCGCTATTTTTTCATATACTCAACGCGGCTGTATCTGTATCTGTATCTGTAGCTGAAAATGTGTGCTCTGTGTGTTATGGCATTATCATTAGCTCTTGGGATTTTCGCTCTTTTCCTCAGGCAAGTTCATTAACTTTTGGATTGTGCGCGGGGGCAACAATTTGTCAAAAATTCTGTCAGACATGCGATTTTTTAATTATTATTTTATATACCCGGATTATGTGCACATCATTTCTGCCTATATGTTGTTTATTTCCCTCTCGCATTCTCAAGCTGACCCATATGCGTTCCGAGCATTTCTCCTCCATAATTCTCTATTTATGCCTGACATGCGAGCTACCAAATAAAAGTTTGCCCAGGCAATTAAGAAGGCCCAGACAAAGTTGTGTCCGGTTTTAATTTTTGGAGTTGTCTTTGATTAGCCGTTGCTGCCCCACTTGACCAAATGATAGATACACTGACTGACTGGCTGACTGACTGACTAACTGACTGACTAGCTACCTGCTGAGCTGGTTTACTTTAGCTTTAACATCTGTGTGGTTAGCAGTACCAGTTCCGTTTCGAAGTCGCCAAGTGACGTCACATATATTAAAACCATAAGAGGCTAGGCTAAGTTGAGCACCTGACTATGAGACAACAATAGATTATGCCATATCGTCATAATTCGCTTAATATGCGTGCGAATCGCCGTTTAGGAAAGCATACACCCAGTCTTTAAATCCAAGTCAAGGGTACATGTAGTACCGGTTCAATAAAACCAGCATGGAGACCAACCGGACTTATCCTAAACGCCACCTGACAGCTTCCTTGTGCTAACAGCCAAAGCGTGAACAAAAGATTAGATCGGATATCTTATTGCATTATGAATTCGATTTAAGAATAAAACTAATTTTTAAACTAAAAACCATATTTTCCTAAGATACGCACTGTCTGCAGTGACCGAGGAGTAATTTTCCGTTTCCTGGTCTAATCTAAACATTCCAAATGTGTTTTCCAACAGCTGGTTGCCAAAGTAACACAGCCGCAAGAGGAAAAATCCAATAAATTCATCTTTTAGCGGCCAAGTTTGTTTACCCTCTAGATACTTTCCCTAGCTCATTTAGTTTCCCGTCTTAAAATTATTTACTCTGCTTGAGTTGCTAGTAAATTGGAAGTTTGTGCCTGAGTAAATTCCATATGCAAATGTTTCCGGTGGAGATTCTGATTTATTTACTTGAATGATTTAAAACTATTTTGTTTTCCACTTGCTTTAAAACGTATATTCATTATATTCTCTGTTCCTCTCGTTTCAGGTACGTGTCCATGCATTGAATTTTGTGCCAACGAATTTTGAAGGCATCTCCCATTTCGAGTAAGATTTTCCCGCCCATAAAATGTCTGGCTGTGAATAGATTTCTCGGAATGAACTTTTTCCAGTAGCAGATGTTTCAGTAATTACGGCATTCATCAGTCTAGTTGGCTAGCAAGCGATTTAGCCATCAACAAATTAGGATTAATCGGGGGAACATGAGTGGTGTGGAGATAAAGAGGGAGAAACACGCTTTGGGATTGCTTTAATAGGGACAAGATCGATAATATCAACTGTGCAAGATATTTATTACTTTCGCAAATAGCGCAGCATAAGCAGACCTTGTTTTTACTTATACGTCTTCGGAACTCTGATCTATATCAATATTTGGATTGCCACTACAAACTTGATACAATAACTGGCACAATCAATATTTGAACAATCAGGTTTTTGGACCCAAGGCGCGCCCAAGAATAGTTAATAATTTCCGGTCGAGAGAGAGGAAGTCGCTTATTTTGCACTGCGGACTTCTGACCCCCTCTCAATCAGTTTGATTTGCGGTCGGTTCGGGAGCGGCTCTAAAGAGCAGCGTATAAGTTTGATGGCTGACAAATAAGTATTAGAGAAATTGTGGAAAACTCATCTTTCTCTGGCAAGGGAAAAACTAGTTATTCCTGCAACTTCTCTGCCTGTTTTTTCGGGCTTAAGAAAAGTTTTCCCGGCCCGTGCAGCTGGTGGTTATCCAGTAGCAAAAACTCGTATCATGGCCGAGAGAGGTTCGTCTCCTTGCCTGGCCTGTGCCAGAAACTTTTCCATCATAATCTACTTAACTTTTGCTGCAATCAATTGCAGACTTTTGTAGCAGCGCTGTGCCGCCTCATTGCATTTTACACAGCCTCTCCAGCGCTTCTCCACCCAGATCTGAGCAAGATTTCTTTGTGTAGATACAAAACGAACCGAGAGATACATTGCCTTTGCCGTTGCCTTTCGCATTCGTCGAGCGGGCCGGCCGTTAATAGAAAAGTTGTCAATGTTTTTTAGACGGCTGGAGGGGGCCGAGTGTCAGCCGCTCTTATCTTATCAGTGCAAAACGGGGGGAGGTGAAGTTGCAACATTCTGCTGCTGTCGTTTGCATAGTCTGGCCTGCGGATGCATCTGCGTTTCGTCCGGCGTCAGATATATGTAGCTATAGCTGGCACAGCAGATACAACTGCATCTACCGTGTACGAGTTTCTCCTACACGCAAAAGCTATCTAAATACGTACACAAAGAGAGAGAGAGTACTCACACAAAAGCTCCGCAGATATAGATACAGCCCACAGGCGGCACATGCATTCTGTAGATACAATATCTTAAAGATGCACTGAAGCGTAATTGTTGTTACCTATCCTTCTCTCTCTCCCCCCGCTGCCTTCCCTGCCCCGACAGGTCTTGTTGAGCTTGCTTGTTAATAATATTGAACAAAAACAAGAAAAGCTATTGGTTTCGCCCAGCACCAAAGGTTACAGAGTATTTATCAAACAAAGGGCAATGTTCTTTACATCGCAAACGACGGAAAATGATTTTTCCTTTAATGCGACAAAGGGAATGGGCGAATGCAGCTCCATGGGGATTACATTGAAATCGTAAACTGACGAATATCTATTTTTTAAAAATTCTTTTTCGACTTGCAGTAGTTGTTGCGTTCATAAGGATGTATTGCTTTGAAATGTGCACTTTTAAGAGAAAACTTCCGCAATAAATAAATTTAAAAGGTTATAACAGTATTCTTTCATTAAACGATATTGTTTATTACACAATATTTCTATAAATATTGGCCCATAAATGATTTGCTCTGCTGACTTATCGAACTAATAAACTTTCCTCGCAGAACGATTCTCGACTGACCCGCTTAGTCATCTTGGGACCCAGTTGCAGCTCTCAATTTGGCTGGGGATTCTGAGGCTTGGGTCAAGCCATATTGAACCCTGAAGCCCCCAAAGCCCTCGTCTTCCCATTGTATCTAAGTATCTCGTTTTTCAAAATTGGCACATGAGTCCGGGCACTAGCAGTCCTCTCTCTCTGGCATCGCTCCCTTCCACTCGCTCTTTTCGATTTAGTTTGAGTTTAAGGCTTTGTGCTCTGCTGACTTCTGGCTAATTGTTTGCTGCTGTTTTGTTATTGCTGTTGGCAGTATCTATCTGAGCGAGTAACTGGATGTATCTGTGAGTATCGAGTATCTATTTGCCATTGCATTGTTGTCTCGTTTGCGCACATAATTGTAATTGATAGTTTGACTTTTACAAAGCGAGCGAGGAAGGAGAGGGAGAGAGTGGATGCATTGTGCATTAGTTAAGGGCTCTATTTACGGCCTGCTCTCCCCGATGTTGTTATTGTTTTTGCTCTGACAGGGTAGGATATACGAAAATACGAAATAGTCCAACCCAAAGACCTTCAGCTTGACTTGGGACGCCATCGAATCGCTTGAACTGTGATATTTTCCGCATTAAACCTTTGCAAACCAGTTTTCCCCCACATACGAGACATTACTCATACGCCAAGTGGAACATTAGCACTTCTCTCGGGAGACTCTATCTCAATTCTTCGCTAAGTTATGTGCATTTCAAATGTGTGAGCAAGGAAAAAGTTCATTCTCCTCTTCCTTATCCGTTTTTGTTGTTGTTCTATCGCAAACTCAATCAAATGTTTAAGTCTCTCCGTATCCCGCTCGCTCACTGCACTGAAAACAATATTTAGGGGGTTACTTCTTTATTTTCAAAACTAAAAAGGAAAAAAAATGGCATTGATAAAAATTAGTTTTTTTGCAAAAAATGTGCAATTGTATGAAATGGAATTAAATACAGAAGGGGTTTTTAAAAAATAAGAACAATATACTTGTATGCTGAAGGGGGTTAATAAAGTTGCTTTTCTGACTTAAGATGCATTTTGTTTTGACCTTTTCCAGGTATATATTTTCACTCATAAAGTAGATCATTTTTTTCAGTGCAAGTGCAGCAGAATCGGCTCTGCATGTGTGTGTTTCTCGTTCCGTTGGTTACTTGCTCTCTTCCTCTTGCTTTTTCTTTGGCCGTAGCTTGCTTGTGTTTTTATTTTTTTGCGTATATCAAGCGTTCATTGCCCGCGATTCGCTTTTCTGCCTTTTTGGCCTGTTGTTTGTGTTGCTTTTGCCTTTGCTGCATTTTGATTTTGGTTTTGTATCTTTTTATTTTTAACGTACACACAATTTGTTAATCTGACTCGAAGTGTTGTTCTGTTTTTATTTTTAATTCGCATAATTTAGCATTTCGTTACGACGGAGTCACTGTGGGAAAGGACAAAGGGGGTGTTAAGCAGGGGTTGTGGGTTTGCAACTGCTGTCTTCAAGGTCACAGAGTTGACCTTCTTTTGGATAGCTCTGCTGTCATGGTTGATTTAAATTGAAAGACATTTAATTGTACAGTTGATATCGATACGCGATAGCTGCAGATAAACTACGTGGTTAATAATTGCTTTCAATAGCATAATTCGATTATGACGGAATTGTCAATTTAATGGTCACATACAATTTCACTAATTACGTATTTGTTGTACCAGGCTATCTGTCTTCATAGTTTTCAGGTATTTCCGATTAAATGGTAATGTTTTCTGTTATCGTTAAAATATGACCGATTATAAAGTTCCATTTCGAAAGTTTAGTCACACTGACAAAAATAGTTGAAATCTAGCGTTCATGATATCGAAACTTCAAAGACAAGCTATCTTTTATTTTTATTTATATTCCGCAGTCAAGACAAGTAATATATTTATGATTTATGATTATGACAATAAGGAAGGGTTGTTTTTGTAATTTTGATATGATATAAACTCGATCTCTTATGGGAAGATCAGTGTACAAATCACATGAAGTTAGGGAACACATTACTACACATTTATCGCGGTTGTATTCCACCTCACCACCCCCTTCGGATGTCTGATTAATCTCCTGCCCGATTGCTTATCAATTTATGATCGTACTGGCAGTTCTTGTTTTTCCGTTGGACCGCCGGTTCTTGCAGTCATTTAATCGGTCGGTAGAGTCCGTATGAATGTGCATATTTGTATTTATAGAGCTCCGTGTGCAAGGGCTTCAGTTACTCGTGCTTTGTCTTGCTGGTTGTTTAATTTGCCGATTTAATTTAAGTTGAACGTAATCAAAATACAGCAGGAAAGAGAGGCAAGCGAAACAAGCTGTTTCGCATTTTATTTAAAATTCTATTTTTATTCACTTGCCCATGCGTTTTGCTTGCCTCTTTTTGCTTTGTTTTTACTGCCTTGTTTTTCTTTTTTGCATTTTTACTTTGGCCTGCCAACTATTTTTGTTTACTATTTACTTTGTGTTGTTGTCGCTCACTGTCGCCGCCGGCATTTGCAAAAAGGGGCGGGGCGGGCCAGGGCGGTCGGGCGTGGCAGAGGGCTTAGTGCGTTGATTTCCCGACCTAGCCGGCGACAATATTTGTTGTGCACTCGACGCCAAAGCCGCCAGGAGGGCAGAAGGGCGGGGTGCGACGCGGAGCGGGCAGGACCAGGATCCACAAAAGCGGGTACACCATATAATGGCAGGGGCGCGACGAGAGGGGCGCAGACAAAGGCCAATGGGAAGGCAGTTCGCCCGGCATTCCTAGCACTAGACTGAAGAAGCCTAGGCATTTTGCGGTTACAGTGGGCCGAGAACCTGCGAAATTTGAGAAAATAAATGTACCCTCCTGATTTCGGTTGAATAACCCTATAAGTTATCTCTCCAACGTTACAATAACCAAATATTATCTTTAACCGGAGTGATGACCCTTAGTGCAAAACGAAAACAACCCAGTGATTGTGAGAAAATAAGATTTGTATCTCTGAGTTTTCTAACCAATAATCTTAATGTGAGCTAGGTAAACTATTCATAAAACAAGAAAAGAAGTTTCGCTTTCGCTCTTCTCAGCGATGCTATATGGTTGATTCCGCTATAAACAATTCGATATCTAGAAACATTTGAAATAAAGCTGATAATAGACGTTGAGGTCTGAAAACAAAGATATGTAGGTCCAAACCTTGTGCTTTAC